TTGGGAGTGGTCAATTGGTTCGGTAGCCATCTAGGATTGGGAGTGGTCAATTGGTTCGGTAGCCATCTAGGATTGGGAGTGGTCAATTGGTTCGGTAGCCATCTAGGATTGGGAGTGGTCAATTGGTTCGGTAGCCATCTAGGATTGGGAGTGGTCAATTGGTTCGGTAGCCATCTAGGATTGGGAGTGGTCAATTGGTTCGGTAGCCATCTAGGATTGGGAGTGGTCAATTGGTTCGGTAGCCATCTAGGATTGGGAGTGGTCAATTGGTTCGATAGCCATCTAGGATTTGGAGTGGTCAATTGGTTCGGTAGCCATCTAGGATTGGGAGTGGTCGCTTTCTGAGGATTTCTCAACCACTTAACCTACATGTATTTATTTGATATAAAAGTTGTTTTTGGCAACAATGACTAAAGCACATTTAAAGTTTGAGAATTTTTTGGGGGTTGGTTATGTGGTTTGGTCGCCATATTGGATTTCTACCAAACAAAAAGTAGTTTTTTACTGATGTCTCAGTTACCATATTTCTTCAAACTTTGCCATGTTGCATCTCTCAAATTATTCGGGTGATTTTTCCTGCCATCATTGATTTTCAACAAAAATGACTGAAAGTTGCTTAAACTCTTGAACATGATATTTTGGGAAAGAATGTATTGCCAAAGCTTTTTAAGGGGAATATAATATCAGAATAATAATTCTGATCAATCTCATGGTTTGGCTGCCATCTTGAATTTTTTGGGAAAAATGCCAAAATGTTACACATTTGTTTCTCATGAGTGCTTTAACCGACTTGTTATTAGTCCCTGTTCGAACGAAGTCCGACAACGGGGACTTATAATTCGTCTGTGCGTCCGTCCGAAGTCATATCTCAGAATCCCTTTGACCGATTCTGTTCATTCTTTGCATGCGCCTAGTACGTTATGTGGAACATATGCACATGCAGTGGTTTAGCGATTCGATTCAAAATGGCCGACTGGCAGCCATCTTGTTTCTTGAAAATGTTGTATTTTGGACATGCTTTGTCAGTTTTTATTCACACTTGGTACATAGATTATACATGTTAGGATACATGTCCATGATGATTTATTTCACAATTGGATCAAAGATGGCCGACTGGCAGCCATCTTGTTTTTTGAAAATGTTGTATTTTGGACATGCTTTGTCAGTTTACATTCAAATTTAGTACATAGATCATACATGTTAGGATACATGTCCATGATGATTTATTTCACAATTGGATCAAAGATGGCCGACTGGCAGCCATCTTGTTGTTTGAAAATGTTGTATTTTGGACATGCTTTGTCAGTTTTCATTCAAACTTGGTACATAGATTATACATGTCAGGATACATGTCCATGATGATTTATTTCACAATTGGATCAAAGATGGCCGACTGGCAGCAATTTTGTTTTTGAAAATGTTGTATTTTGGACATGCTTTGTCAGTTTACATTCAAATTTAGTACATAGATCATACATGTTAGGATACATGTCTCCGACCGTCCGTGAGTTCCTGAGTCTGTCTGTCTGTCCGTCCGTCGGTGTGTCAGTCTGTCTAGAGTCATATTTCAGAATCCTGTGGACCTATTCCGTTCATTCTTTGCATGTGCCTAGTACCTTATGTGGGACATATGCACATGCAGTGATTTAGTGATTCGATTCAAAATGGCCGACTGGCAGCCATCATGTTTTTTGAAAATGTTGTATTTTGGACATGCTTTGTCAGTTGCCATTCAAACTTGGTACATAGATTATACATGTAAGGATACATGTCCATGACGATTTATTTCGCAATTGGATCAAAGATGGTCGACTGGCAGGAATCTTGTTTTTTTTATGCGGTATCTTGGACGTGCTCTGTCAGTTTTCATTCCAATTTGGCACATACATGTACTTTATACATGTTAGGATGCATGTCCATGACAATTTGTTTCAAAATCTTGTCAAGGATGACCGATTGACAGCTATCTGACTTTTTGGCCTTACTACTATATTTCCACAATTTATGTACCATTTTCATTTGTATTTGGCACATACATACATGTTTCATAATCAGATCAAAGATGGTCGAATAACGACTGTTTTTATGGCCATATTACTACTACACGGAACACGTGTTTTGATGTAAATAAACAATCTGTTATACGCCAATTGGAACTCAAGTTTCAAGGACACGCTCCCGACAACCCCTCCGCTTTAATATGACGAGCACAAAGAAAACTTTCAATAATTTAACGGGGACTGTGTCCCCTTTTCAATGACTTGTTTTGTATATTACTAATATGGGTAAAGCTTCTTACAGGTAAAAATAAAATAATTTTATCAGTCATATGGTTTGGTAGCCATCTTGCATTTTTGGCAAAATTTACTACAATTTGGGACCTTTATTTCTCAGGAGTGCTTTAAAGGCCCAATTCATTTGCCCCGGGCAAGTGTGAATTGGAGGTGTGGCTATGTTAATAAGTGTTGTTAATCACTTGCATAGCCTATGACGCATCCTGTTTCAGCGGTCCAACATCACGTTACTGCAGCACATTGACAGCAGTTAATTATTCAAGATTAGTAGCGCGTCCCTTTCCCCGGTTCCTGTTTTTGACTTTTATCCGCCAAAATCTCAACCCGTACACTATTTATTGTCATAAATACTACACACAGTCACTGCTGTGATATTCATAGTCAAAATGCATCCACTTTGGCACGACATAATAGACCTGTAAGTTCGAGAAAACGCGTTTTTACCAGAGCTTGGTTTGAACTGTTTACTACAGCATGACAAGCAAGGAAATAATCCCTATTGTTTAGGAGCGTATTTATAGTATACCTGGGCCTTTAACCGATTGACTTGACTTAAAAAATGATTGATCAGTCACATGGTTTGGATGCCATCTTTGATTTTCAGCAACAATGACTGCAATGTTGTGCATGTGTGTCAATTTTGTGAATGCTTTAACCGATAAACTTGCTATGTTGCATGTATGACCAAAGCATTTTCTGAGAAAAATAACATATATATCAGTGTGTACACATTAACACATATTCAGCCATCAAACTCTGCAGCTTTAGTTGATTCTGAATTCCATATAGAATGTCATGTTCAAGATCAGACCGATCTGTCTGAGAGTAAATGATTTATTGCTGATAACAGCAAATTTATTTTTCAATTTCCAATATAATTTGTTGAGTGAAATAATACAGTGAATTGTTTTTTAATGAAAGACCATGTTCTGAATCGGCAGTTGTTCGGGACAACCACTTCTGTAGTAGGGCAACAAAAAATGTTTGTTCATTGTGACAACCTTGAAAAAAAAATGAAGAAACCACACTACACAGAGTAGTATTACCATAGTAACTGTATTATTGCTGATAAAAATAGTTTTTAAATATTTTGAGCAGAAAACACACAATTATTCAGCTTTATTTTGAAATATTATTCTATTGGACAATCAAGTATTTGTTTGTGAACTTTTGTGAAAGTTGAAAAATATTTGATTTACCAGTAATGTCTTGTTTAATCCTTAGATGAAGAAAGTTGTGACTGCGTTGTATATTCGTGATAACATCCATCCATTTAAAGCTAGCCTTCTACTCTGGGTTCAGCTACCTATGTGGGTATTCATATCATTTGCATTGAGAAATATGACTGGTGCATTTCCTGGAAAAGTAGCCCAAGGTATACTATCACGCAGTGAACTTTCAGATTTCATGCACGTTGTATACACAGTCAGCTGGTGCACAGCCAAAACCAAAATTGTCATCTAACTGTAATGCCCTCGCTGATTGGCCACTGAGTTGGAAAGAATTTTTTTGGTTTCAAATACCCCAGGAAAGTGTTCTATGTTCTTTATGTATTTTCCACACAAAAACGATGACTTTGAATGAATGTATTTAGCGGTTGGCTTAGTATTATCTTAATTGATCGTTTGGCTGTGAAAGATTGGTACTTTTTTCTGATTTGTAGGAATCTGAAAAATGCAATTCACAACTTGCCTCTTTCAAGATGGCTGCCCCCATAGAGTAAATATCACATCTATTTTATTATCACTTGTGCGCCAGCTGGCTGTGATTGTATACATCATTTTACAACACAATGTGTGCTGCTTTTATATATACTGGGTTGGGATGAACATCCAGCTGCATTATGGGATGAATACATTAGTAATGTGGCATCATATGGTTTGAAAGTTTGATTATATACTGTAGAATACTTTATTTTCGCTTGGAATTTATTTTCGCTATTTTCGCTGAAGGGATGATTCCGTGAAAATAAAATCCAGCGAATATACATTTTTTCCTATATTTTACATTAATCTTATCAAAAATCAGTGAAAATAAATTCCAAGCAAAACGCGCAAAAAAGCCTTTTCAGCGAAAATAAAGTATTCCACAGTATTTAAATTGTTACATGTGTATTTCATTTCAAGTTTTGGTGATTTCCCAGAATATCCATGAATATAAAACCCAGTGAATATGATCAAAACAGTGAAATTAAATATCTATAAATGTTAGTACTATCAACACAACAAATCCATGCCCTTCATTTTCATAAATTTCCTACTTGGCCAATAGAAAAATTTTGGAACATTTTTGAATGACACCATTATGCACTGGGCTCATCAAATGGCTGATTGGATTAAACTGGCATAGATATTTGTAAAAATAATGGAATGGGTTTGTTGTGTCGGTAGTACATTACAATAATTACACTCGATTTCTTTTTCCAGAATTTGGCCCTTTGGTACCATCTATGGCCACTGAGGGCGCTCTTTGGTTTCCAGATTTAACCTTACCTGATCCCTTTGTGATATTACCAATCATTCTTGGATTGAGTAATTTACTGGTGATTGAGATGCATGCATTGAGATCTACAAAACCAACCAAATGGCAAGGAAGAATTACAAACCTCTTCCGCTTTTTCTCAGTTGCTATGGTACCATTAGCTGCATATCTACCTACAGTAAGTTGGCTTTTGCAATATCTGTCTATGGTGGTGGTGTTGTTATTGTTTTTGACTCCATCATAAGTTACAATATCCAATTTTTTTTAAACTTAGATATATTAATTGGTTTGAGAGATTGACAAAGTGCAATTTTGGTATGTGTTCCATGTATACTTTACTCAAAATAGTCTTCTTGTTACAACAATTTATATTTGAGAATCTTCAAATTTGGTGCAACTAGCAAATGGAATTTCTAAGATATGGGGTCAAACTTGAACAGAATGAAAATCAGCTGTTAGTAATACACTCTCCAAGTGTACTAAGCAGATACAAGGGTAAATATAAATCAAAGACAACTTTGAAAAAGCCGAGTGTGCTGAGATTATTGGAGGCATATTATAATTAATTCCAAAATTTAAAATTAGCCTTGCAAACAATCTTGTCAGCTATTCGAGATGCACAACATAAATAAAATGAGATCCATATTATTAAAGTTTATAATATATTATAATAAATTTGATTGTACATCTGTGGTTTGCACTCTAATTTATTCCAGAACACCTCTACCACAAGTTCAATTTAAATCTGTCTAATAATAATTAGATAATCAATATGCATGGTTTTCAACATTAAACTAATCACGTCTGGATTATTCTAGAGCATCTATGAACCAAATTTCATTGTAAATTGGGAAATTAGTATGCTTAAATTTCAATCCAAAACTAATCAGGTTCAAGCATTGTTTCCAGGCTATTATATACCAAGTCTTATTGAAATGTAATAATTGTTTTTTGACAAATTGGGTAATTACATGTATTATGCATAGATTTTAACCCAAAACAAATAAGGCCAGAGTATTGTTCCGGGGCACATATGTACCAAGTTTCATTAAAAAGTGGTGATTACTTTAAAAAAACTTTATTTTTGCTAATAGAATGATTCAGTGCGAATATATAATAATTTTTTCCTATATATAACATTCAACTTGTCAAAAATCAGTGAAAATACATTCCATACAAAAAGTCTTTCTTTTCAGCGAAAATTTATTCCAGCTAAAATAAATTATTTTACAGTACTGAGTACTTGAGATATCAGTTGGAAAGCCGAAAATTGACTAATTATGCAATTATTATGTATGAATATTAACCCAAAACTAATCGGGTCTGTGCATTGTCCCAAAGCATCTATGAAATCTGACCAGCATTTCCTTGGTGGAACATACAAAATGTAAGAGACTTCCATTGTGTGCTTAGACATGGGAGTCAAAACTGCAGGGTTTTCCCACCTTTTTCCAAATCTGGCTAGTATTTTATTTTGCACAGGACATTGAGGTTAATACAATATATGTAGTATTAATTGAGCAACCCGTTGGCCAGTACTTTTCTTGCCAAATTTAGCTTAGATGTGTTGCATTATTCAGTAAGGCACATTGAGATTAATACAATATATGTAGTATTAATTGAGCAACCTGTTGGCCAGTACTTTTCTTGCCAAATTTTGCTTAGATGTGTTGCATTATTCTGTAAGGCACATTGAGATTAATACAATATATGTAGTATTAATTGAGCAACCTGTTGGCCAGTACTTTTCTTGCCAAATTTTGCTTAGATGTGTTGCATTATTCTGTAAGGCACATTGAGATTAATACAATATATGTAGTATTAATTGAGCAACTTGTTGGCCAGTACTTTTCTTGCCAAGTTTTGCTTAGATGTGTTGCATTATTCTGTAAGGCACATTGAGATTAATACAGAACATTACATTTTTCTTGTCCATTTAACATGGGAGCCCTTCCTAGATGACCGATAACATTTTACTCAATCTCTTTCAAGGGCATGTCTCTGTATTGGGCATCATCGAGTGTATATGGACTTGGACAGAACTTACTACTAAAGTCGCCCAAAATGAGACGAATTTTTCAGCTTCCACATGTACCAAGCGAAAGCACCACACCATACAAGGATATGATGAAGCTGGCAAAAATAAAGTTCCTGCGACAGTCTGAAAGTAAATGATTGCTGGGACATGCATGAAGAATCTGCCGATGTCCATTTAAGTTAACTTCTGACATTTCATTCACATTATTATAATAAAGGTTCTTTAATCACAAGTTAATACTACATGTATTTCTTTCACAGCTACATTTAACAATCAATTCAAATTTCTACAGGGCATGCAAAATTATTGTTTATACAGATTTGCACTCAAAATTAATCAGTCTTGTCTATATTGTATGGATGTTGGAGGCTATGGTTGTTTGTAATCAGCAGTGGAAGGAATTTCATTCTTTTCGATTCCCCGGTGCCTTTGCAGTTAGTACATTTGTGTATAAGTCTGTTCCACCTGTGCATCTCAAGAACAAATCAGATTTCAATGAAAATTCTTGCATAGATGCCCTGTTCTTACTAATTAGCATAAATTAACCACATTATAGGTGCTCCAGACAACTGGAATACCACTCCTATATGCAGTTGCTTTCGGGTTGAAAGCCATGCATATTAATCCGTTTGTCAATAAGCATAACTAATATCTCTGGCACTGTTGCAGATAGGAACATGCAACTGGTGCTATAATTTTGTCTGGTTGTGATTTTATTAAATATTTATAATTGTTGTACCATAGACACTTGTAACCAACCTAAGTTTTTAAATGCCTTACCAGTTCTATGAGAAGCACGAGTTACTGTAAATATAAATGACAAAATTAGATATTTCAATGATTATGCATTTCTAATATCTTTTAACACACTGGAATTCAAAGTTTTCTTGGATTTCACCCTACTGTTAGCAGGGATTAATTTTTCCTCTAATAGTTTCAAATTGATTACCATTTATAACTGCTGGTGCATCTGACAAACTACCAGGACAAGCAACCAATTTGCACAAGTTTGTTGGATTGCATCTCATTAACATTAGTCCTAGAAAGCAGTTTGTAACCAAATTCATTCCTCTCATTCAGCAAGTTATTTCATATTTGTGCACAGAAAATTGAGGTGCATCAATAAATAAACACTCCATAGATTCCAGGCTACACATCACAAGGAGTCTGTATAGTGTGGAACACTCCATAGATTCCAGGCTACACATCACAAGGAGTCTGTATAGTGTGGAACACTCCATAGATTCCAGGCTACACATCACAAGGAGTATGTATAGTGTGGAACACTCCATAGATTCCAGGCTACACATCACAAGGAGTATGTATAGTGTGGAACACTCCATAGATTCCAGGCTACACATCACAAGGAGTCTGTATAGTGTGGAACACTCCATAGATTCCAGGCTACACATCACAAGGAGTATGTAAAGTGTGGAACACTCCATAGATTCCAGGCTACACATCACAAGGAGTCTGTATAGTGTGGAACACTCCATAGATTCCAGGCTACACATCACAAGGAGTATGTATAGTGTGGAACACTCCATAGATTCCAGGCTACACATCACAAGGAGTATGTAAAGTGTGGAACACTCCATAGATTCCAGGCTACACATCACAAGGAGTCTGTATAGTGTGGAACACTCCATAGATTCCAGGCTACACATCACAAGGAGTATGTATAGTGTGGAACACTCCATAGATTCCAGGCTACACATCACAAGGAGTATGTATAGTGTGGAACACTCCATAGATTCCAGGCTACACATCACAAGGAGTCTGTATAGTGTGGAACACTTCATAGATTCCAGGCTACACATCACAAGGAGTCTGTATAGTGTGGAACACTCCATAGATTCTAGGCTACACATCACAAGGAGTCTGTATAGTGTGGAACACTCCATAGATTCTAGGCCAACAGCCATATGTATTGCAGTCACAACCGTGTATAGCGACCAACCAAGGTACTTCATTAAAATTGTTATTATATGGTGGTATTGATTTTTACAAACTGAGAAGGTACTGTTGCAACAAAAATACATTTATTGTAGTTGATCAAAATCAAGTCATATCAGCAAAAATATTGCTAAATGGTTGATCACACAAGATGTGCATCTTTAAACACACTTGGCGCCTCCAATACTGCAAAAGAGAGGTAACGTTTGGCAGATGGTCACCAACTCAGGTTAGACTCTCGCATTTATAAGGATATCACTCTTGCACACTTATTAAAGCAAAGAACAAACAAATGTACAACATTTTATTTAAAGAGAAGTTATATTCATGGAACACTGAAAAGTTACAATAGCAATAGGAATTTTTTTTTTTTCAAATGAAATGGTAAATGTTTTCCTTGTTTGAAATCTGGGAAACTTCTATTTCTTCACTTTTGTCACAGTCAGTAAAAAATGTACACGCATTTATTTCTCGTTCTTGGGCTCATACATTTTTTTTTATGTCGGATCAAATTTGCAACTGCTGCAAAAGAGTTTGTTCTAATACCTTGCCATCCAAACTGCATGTATGCAAGATTGTACTACAAGTCAATGGGTTTTCTTTATCCACCATTAACATTGTATTTACAATTGAAAAGAAAAAGGTTGAGAAAGGGTAATTTCAAGGAAACTAGGTTAAAGCTTTTTATTGTTTAACATTCCACTGCGAGACAATATAGACTGATTCATTCACACAAAAGATAAGCTGGGAAACACAGAAATATGTGAAGAAGCTTTAGTAGTAAGAGAATTTCCAAGAATTTCCAAGAGAAGGGAGAAGAGGTAAATATATTAGTCTAGTAGTCACACCAGGCAGGATTCAATACTTTTTACATCCTTTGACAGCACTTGAATTAGAAACAGAGGTGAATCCGAGGACAAATCTGAACATGTATTTAACACTGCTTAGCAGCTCGCATCATTCCCGAGAAATAAAATAGCCCAGGGAAAGAAACTGACCATAGAACAAGTCACCTTTGTTGAAATACATGTTTGGCAAGTTTTGATTAAAAATGATTGTCATGAAATTGTATTCTAATTTGTGTATACAGCCCAAAAATGTTGCTCTGTGGAGTATCTCTGATGGCAGGGTTTTACAGAATGACGAGGGAAACAAAGATGAGACTAATCCACAGAGCAAAACACTACCAGCTTCGGTTACTCTGCCAAAGGATGACAAAGCAGATCGCCTCATTGCTACACTACACAGCATCACGTTTACTTTTTAAAGACTTTCCATGAACCACATTTACAAAATTGCGAATACCAAGTAGGAAAAATTGACCATTAGTAAGAATAAAAAAGGAACGCCTTTCATGTTTTTAAAAATTCTAATGAATTTTTTCATTGCTATTTTTTTTGAATGCCACGTGGATTGCCTGAGTATTTCTCCCATCTGCTCCTTAGCGATGTCACCATCACTGGTACATTCCAGTTTATATTTTGCCAAGCACCGTAAACTTTTTCCCAATTTATCCAGCACATCTGTTTTGCTCAGTGCCTACACAAGAATATCAAGCAGTTTTGCCAAGTTCAAATATACAATTACATGATAAAACAGGCGCATTTTGAATAACTGTAAAAGTCACATTTGTGTAGCTAATTCCACAAAATACATAAAATGGGTTCCCTCTTAAAGTTAACCCAACAATAAAAACATCCAACATTTCACAGAAAAGAAAATCTTAAATAATTTAAACCAATTGTATAACCAACTTGACTCCACAATTCATCAGAGCCTTAACAAAAAAAAAAAATCAATTTTCACCTGATCAAGGTGCTGATGCATTTTATTACAATATCTAACACTATTTGGCAAATAAGTGAACAGTGTTTTTAATGAAGAATACAATAATGTCCCACATATAGTCAAAAAGTATAAAAAAAAAAGTTTTGCTTTTCACTGAGGAGCTTGGCAAAACAAAACAGACCTCTGTGGCGGCAATCAGATCGTGTTCAGTGACAAAATTCAATCCACATGGTCCTAACCATTTGATTTACAAAAGTTGGCTTAGGTAGCTTGAATAATTTTTAAATCTATAATGTTAAATTTTTTTTATGTTTTATTTTTTATTATTTTTGAATTAAATAATGGAATATCATTATGTCACAAGAAGTGTAATAGTCGATATGGGAAAAATGTCTAGTATGTATGCACAGTGTACCCTATTTCAACAAAGTAAAAAAATGGTGGATTGCAAAGCACTGATTCACTTCCTTGCAGTCTCAGATTGTTGGCCGCCTTGTGATAAAACACGTCTCTCCTCCCACTACGACACTGCACAAACCCCTCAACATATAGAAACATAAAAGACTTCCAAGTAGAAATATTCCCTGCCCATTAATGAATTACACAAAAAATGTCTGAAAAAGAAGTGATATGCACAAATCACAAATTTCTTGATTATTGAACCAATTTAAAGCAGACAAGACAGATAAATACAGCAGGCATAGAATTACCACCCACCCACAGAAAATGCATACCCTCCCCTGACCCTACCCATTTAACCCCCATCGATACAAAGCTCACTATACCAGTTAGCAAACTGTGTACCCTGTCTCCGCAAAGACAGATAAGAGAGGGGTTTTTCCTGTGCCAGTGTCTTAGCGCTGGAGTAGTGCGTGTAGTCATAGTGACAGGTAGTAGACTGTTAGGAAGCTGCTGGTTTCACATCCTCTCCCACTGAGCCTCTACGAGGTGGCATTCTCTCGTTAACTTTGTCAAGTCCCTTGGCTTCTTCGAAGCTTGTGATTTTATGAGATGGAGAAAATCCACTGATTGCTGTAGGAATACAATGATATCAAAACTTAAATATCATATCTGAAATAATCAGGATTGTGTGGCTAAATTGAATCAAATGTATAGCAAAAATAGTTCCTTTGTTCCACATTTGGAAGCCTATTTTGTACAATCAGGAACAAATATCGAAGATTATATATTTTCATGGAATCATAACTTTTTGTTTCCAAAACAATCTCATTCAAATTGTGTTTTTGACATCACTGCAGGCAGGTTATTCATGCACATCATTTTGCTTCAGATTTCATTTTTGTAGTTTGCCTATGTTTCTCAGATGCACTTCCATCGATCTTGTTTAAATTTGGTACAAAGGCAAGACATGGTTTGCATATTCTCGTTTGGTCATGATAAAATTTAACAGCCTGTTAAATAAACAAGCATGATTGGGTTAATTTTATTCAAACTTGGTCTGTACATCACAATAGATAGGTTACTCATGCACGCCATTTTGTTGCGGGATCTGACTTAAAAAAAAAACAAGTCATTGTTAATGACATATTCTAACGGGGACTAAGGGAAAATGTTATTCATGCCAAAAATCATTAAAGTAATACATGTATGCACCAAAGGCATAGTTAATAATTTAATAAGTGAATAATTGGCTGGTTTAGTATCAACAGAAATTAGATGTATTAAATGATGTAATATATGGTCAGAAATTAAAAAGGATATGCTATTCAAGCATCCAATCTGAATATCATTTGTTCAGATTCATGTACAGAAAACACAAAATGTATCATGGACATGTATCTCAACATGTATAATGTTGAATGAAAAATCGACAAATCCTATCGAAGATACCACATTTTCAAAAAAACAAGATGGATGCCAGTCGGCCATCTTTGATCTAATTATGGAACAAACTGACATTGACATTTATTCCTACATGTACGAATGATGTGCCAAATATGAATGAAAATGGTCCATAAGCTTGAATAAAAACCAACAAAGCATGCATAAGATACCACATTTTCAAAAAACAAAATGGCTGCCAGTCGGCCATCTTTGATTAGTTCGTGAAACGAAATCTTTGAAACAGCGGCACTAATCAAAAATTATTGGTATTAATTTAAACCTCGTAAAAAGGAAGAAGTGAAAGAATACAAACCACTTGTAAGAGTAGCTTTTCCTCCTGATAATGCACCAAGTGGAAGAGTACCGGTCGGTGTTAGTCCTTTGAGCTGCAATACGCTTTCACTCTCCTCTCTGTAACAATGATATGGTGACGAGGAAAAAAAATATATGGTATTAGGGACCTAGTTTTCAGTAGCATTAATCATTAAGCATATGTGCAAAGAAAAGCAAAATGGGATTGTCAGTTTTACCAATTTCTCGATTTTCATTGATATAATCAATGCTGTCCAACCACATTCACCACTTTTTTTGTCTTGCGAAAAAGAAAAACAGTTTAAACAAAGCAAATAAAGTTAAAAAAACGACTTGCCTCAGTACGGAGAAGACTCTTGCCATTTTACCAATTGCTCGTATCTTGTTTCTAATAATCTCTTTGCGAGCAGCTGCTGACCCACCTGACGGGGAGACTACATTGTATCATAGTGCATGGACAAGTGACTGTCACAATCACAAAAGTTTAGATACTTACTCATACATATCCATTAGTAATGGCATGGATGTAGGGGAAGCTACAGATCAAATGAGTACAAAATAGTGCATCCATGATAAGGAGGCTGCCAAAGAAAAGTTAACAGGCAATGAATCTAATGTCTGCAAGCTATGCCACATCATGCAAATGTACCTATAGTATAGTGAGTGCAACAAACCTATCCAACAAAGTGAAATGGTTAACTTGATTAGCAATTTTTCCAAGCACGCACATGTCTGTCAGCTATGGATAATTTGAAAGAAAACAAAATTATGATAGGGACTGGGGTTCACTCAGATTAATCTTTTTAAAAATTTGAGGAATCAGCATGATTTTTTGAGACTATGACATGGAAGCCATCTAAGTATTACAACATGATGAATATATTAAAGCAACATTGACTTGGATATTGCACTTTTACAAGGCTATTTACTTTTAAAAGCAACTCTGCTACTAATCACTCCAGAACCATCCATGTATTGCCATCACATCTTGTGAAAGATGAAAAACGTCTCAGACACAGACACATCAAATATTCATGTAGAGATTACAATAAGCACCTCATGAAAATCCTTCATGGTGTTACATGCTGAGATGGTGTGAATGAGAAGAGACATACACATGCATTACACTCAATGTTTAGTCAATGAGAGATAGGTAAAAGTTACAAATTGTAGAGGTGGTGATGAGAAGAAAGATGGGAACGGAATCACTTACCGTTGCTGAGGCCTGCACGTAATAGGGAAAAGTAGAATGGGGCAGAAGCAAAATAAAAGTGTGGGTTAGTTCAACAACAGTACAGACCTTGTATTAGGCAAGCGATATTAGCAAGATAATGCCTGATGGTAAGGTAACTTGGACTGCGTCACCCAAGACCATCCCTGTGCACGTTCCACAGCAAACGTTAGCTAGCTAGCAACTGTTAAGGGCATAAAGCTGTCTAGTCATTCACTTCAACTACTGTGGCACACAACAAAAAACACACACACTTACTTTTACTCTTTACACTGTCGCCTATCAATTCTGTGATGTCAGGACAGGGTAGGTGGACGGAAGTAAGCAAAAACCAATCTCAGTACGGGCAGTTTGTGATCAAGTACAAGCCTATACACAACACACTATTATAATAGTAGTTGACTCAGTACAATCCATAGTTGGCAAACAGTGCATCCTAATGCTTAGTTAACTCCACACACAAGATACCATGCATTGTGTCCCATTGCAGCAAAATTTAACCCTCAGTTGGTCATTTTAATACTCTCTTTCGTAAAAATTAGTAATTGTTGGTAATGAGTATTAAAGAATAATTATAAAACCCATGCAAAGTAAGAAAGCTAGAATAACCTTATACAGTAGAAATATTAGTGAGATAAGCATGCATTAAATGTATGCAGCTGATGATCTGAATGCAACGAGTTCAAGAGAAATTGAAGCCTAACTTCATAGTATTGAACAGTCACATATTATCTAATCTTTCTAGTGTTCAGAACATGCTGATAAGTAACAGCTCAAGTAAGAATTAGGCAGAGCTGAAGTCTATTGTCTTGCTTATCAGATATTGCATGTAGCAAACAAGAATCGGTATTCAGATTGTACACTTGTAGAATCAAGATAAATCTAAATCCATTCATGGATTGGGGAACTCTGCTTTACAGTAAGAAGAACCTCCAAGGAAAAACTAAGCAATTTAACATGTCTGTTATCAGCAGGCAATATGCATTATTTTTTTCACTTAGCAAAAAGTGCTTTTCCCCAATACACCAGGTTAAGCAAGTTACTGCAAGTTATATATATTGAAGCGTACATTTCACTGCGAGTAAAGCCATTTAAAGCTATTAATTTGATTTTTTTTAACAAATTTTACAACAGTCAATTATTAGAGCACTAAGAATTATATTAAATGTAAAAAAAAAAAGTCATCTGAGCTAAAATTAAATCAAATTTACTGCAAATCTTAAGGCATTCAAAAGTCCAATTTTTCTTCAGCCATGAACGACAGTCAAAACACATTACCTCTAAATATGGAAAAATAAAGGTCATCAAAATCTTCCCAGTGCATTTATTAAACTAGTGTTGATAGTTTAGAGTAAACCTGTCTTGTACAGTGTATAATACACACAAATGCTGATAGACTAACAGTTTTTGCACTTCACTGTTACTTCAATATTTTGAGAATAAAGTAGTCTGAGGAAAATCCCAATTATGTATTGCAGAAACATGTTAGCAATCATTACTCCAAATCTGAAGTCAATTTAACAAGCCATTTTGGAGATCAACTACTTTATAGATCATTTTTTGATTGGCAGAATTAGAACAAAGATATAGACTAATTGGCATACATGTATCAATGGATGAATAGTGCAGTTGCTAACGTAACATCGATTTTCTTTTTTTTTTTTTTAAATGGCATGAAATATGTGCCTAATGTTTTATGGTAAGCAGATGGAAGAGCATCTTCATTTTTTTTCATGTGAGCTGTATTAATTACTTAAAATACTTGCAAATATACTATCTGCAGTTCCATTTATGATGGAGCTATATAAATTCAAAAGTATAAAATGCTCATTTTAATCAATTTGCCAAAAAAGGTGCACATCACCCATAAACAGTGTGTGCAATACAAGACAGCATCACTTTTCATTGGAGAGATGAATGCTAAGGTGTTGACAAGTTGTTTTGAACGTGGTCTGCCAACAAATTTGATAAAGCTTCTATTAAACGAAAGAAATTCCTATTAGAGGTTAATACATGTCAATGTCTCCAAATTCTGTCATAACATAAAAAGTCAAATTGTGTGAATGGCGTACTACCAGCAAAGATTCTAGACTCTCCATGCATTTTCTACATATTTAGGAAGGTGTCATATGGTTACACAGTAGCTAAAAATGTCCTAGCTACGAGAATTAATATGTAAATATGCCCTATGGTTACATTACATTACACAGTACCAAACCAAAGAGCTATTATCGCATCCTATAAGCAAGAGACCGAAAGAACTGTTTTTAAATTGAACAACCCACTCAAGAAGGTGGGCATGGAGAGCAAGGAACGGCTGAAAGGGGTAGGGACAACAACAATGCTACAAGGATCCACACATGAATTATTCAAATCATGCCATGCACCAACATTCAATTACACTTCAAAATTCATGCAGATACACCACATACTTATCTTTTTAACCAAGTATGTAAAACGATATAACCCAATGGGGTATTTCAAGATTCTGAAAACCTGACTAAACTAACTTCACAGCTGTAAAAACCTTTGATATTTCCTGGCCATATGCAAATGTTCTTTTGTAAATTACTAATTAATACACGAACCTTAAGCCAAAATATTTACCAAGTACTTTCTATTTCTGTATAATATTAAATTGCTGTATAGGCTACACATGCTGTTATAATTGCTAACTGAACTAGTGCAATTACACATGCATGGAGTAAAAAATAAACAAATGAAAATCACAAACGCTGCAATTGAAAGTGAAGTCATCATGCACGATAATCTACTCTATGGGCAGTGATCAGAGCCAAAAATATTTTCATTGTTTTACTTATTTTACCATTTGATTTTCTGTCTGAAAAATGAGTTAGCTGAACAAATATGGAGGCACACATCAATAGACAGACCTCATATTGCTATTAATAAAAACAAAAAATTCTGGATTTCTAAGTAAAAGGCAGATGATAGATAGTACTAGTCACCGTGCCATGTTGTGTTTGAATTTGATCCCATGTGAATCTGATTGCAAGCTCTTGTGCTTTAAATGATAAAATGGCAGAAAATTCAGAACGAAAAGAAATATTCTACAGGCTGTGACCTTCACCCTTATTCATTTGGCATGTTCTTTTATCGCATAAAAATCTCACATTTCGAAAACTAATGATTGCAACACTTTCAACAAAAATATTCAAATTAATACTTCATTTTAAGTATTCATGTGATTGATATTTCATTGCTACAATATGATACAATAAAACCAAAGACGGTTACTTTATTCTCTGTTAATTTGAAGTTTCATACGACTAAGATAAAACAGAACCCAAGGTAACATGACACCTGACTTGGCAAGGATGGACCAAAGATTACTCAAGTTATCATTAAAAGCTGAAAAAAATCTTGAAAACATTGATGAGGTTTTTATAGTCGATATAATCTAATGAAGTATACTATTAAAAATCAATGCCAGTTTAAACGAGGCATGATCTAATAACCCCCCCCCCCCCCCCAATAATAAATTAATGCATTTGGAGCCAAATTTTAGACAGTTTACTAACTTTGATTAAATTACAAAAATGGGTCCTCAACTGAACAAAAACAATCCCTAAAAATCTTATTCTTTTAAATTTTACATCTTGTGTGCTAAGAGGCTAAGAGGGGGCATGACCGCATTAATTTGGATATACTATTCACCTGAATCTAGCTATTGCAACTCAATAAAACTGACATGGTAATGAAAATATTAATAATGCACAATATTATTAGAGTGACCTTTATAATTTTGATCAAGGACAATGAGGCACTCTATAAAACAAGATTTTTGAATGACAGTATGTGATTAGAATTACTGATTTTACAGCTGTTCTGTTAGCAAAGGGCAAAGTTGCAAGTCAGATTATGAGGACAATCATGTTACAAAATTCTAGTTAACTCTTTTGGGCGACAGATTTTCCATGCCAAAAGTTTAGTGCTACATTTTGCCTAATTTTGGACCAAATGGACGCAATTTTCTTGATCTTGATCATAATTTACAAAAAACAAAAACAAAAATGTGGGTTTTATTTTGTAAAATGTGGCAAAAGTTGGAAGAGAAATGCCAGCGGGACCTGAATCAACAAGCAGGCATTGCTGCAACCAGTCAAATTTACCAACACGATATTGTGTATGGTACCCAAGTACTATCTTGCAAGTGTAGTGATAGTGATAGTATTAGTACAGGTGGGTGCGTCTTGTCTGATGAGGGCATTCAATTTGACTTGAACCCCATGAGAACAGACAGTGTCATTCTGGTGTAAATATTATGTTTAAGTGGTTGTCAATGAGTGGAAGCAGAGACATTAGGAGCTTTCTAGTTACTAGAAATGGCCCATCCATACCAATTAACTAGGCATTACCATATTTTTGCATTATGGAAATCTGTTTTATCTTCGTTAATTGCTTTTTAATAATTCATGCTAAGATATGCAAAAAAGTACGCACCTTCGAATGAGTCATCACCTTCTGTCATTAGCTCATCGTCTGAACAAATACTCAGCACGTTCACTAACATTTCCGTCACTATTAACACAAACGCATATGATCATTTGTAATAAGCTTGTAACAAAAGAGCAACCTGCAAGGTCAGAAAAACTAACCTCAATCCTCTGAGGGCCATCATTTGTCTAAACTTCTTTGCTAATTTTAATTTTGCACAAAACCAACATAATTTTCTATTGCATACTAATGATGCAGGCATATGGAAAGTGACAAATATCACCATCATATTTTAAAAAGTTGACAACCAAAACTTTCTTAGAATTTAAATTAGGTTCAACGACTGCATGTCAAATGTTAAAGTGTGATTGAAACCAGAGACATCAGATATCGGGGTGATGATAAAAACGTAGAAACACTGGCTTTGGGCATTAATGTACATGCATCTAATGTGGAACTTAATATACCCTGCTCCCATGAGCATTGTTAAACATCTGCACCTCAGGGTTGACACAAAATAAGAGCTACTTATAAACAAAATTTGAAACCTGTTTGACACATCCAAATATATTGCAGTTGTAGTACAATTGTCAAACATCAATAAATTGGACTACACAATTCTATTATTATGCAACCGATTGAAAATTGCAGGCTTATATGCTCAAATTACAGTCTATGTGCATCAACTAATTGAGACTGGCAGGTGTAGAGATGACAATTAACTTGCACATTAGGTATCAAAAAACCCTATCACGATCAAATCAAATACTAACTGTGATACCCAACATGAAATTATCACAATGATAACTATGCATTTCTGCTATAGAAATAATAAATTAGTAAAAAATGCTTATTACCACTGCCAGCCAAGAGCTGCCTGTATTGAGAAAAACACCCCCACAATCTATTAATTTGGTCATAACAGTAAGAATCAAATGATTTATAACCCTATTTTAGCCACATTATAAATTCGTACAAGAGTACATGCAAAGGCAATTTGGGCACAGAGTGTTGGGCTCTTGAATATTTGAATGAAAGCACATGATTGATATTTATTCTAAATATATGCATTTATAAACTAAGGGTACAGCTTCCTGCCTTTCACTGTACATGTTTGAGACATTAATGAACATTTTGACCAGCAATATGTTGAATAGTGCATTGCAGAGTTTGAGCAAAAATCATAGTTCCACTCAAAAGCAAATTAACATTGTATTTATATTTTTTGTGTTTTAAGAAATATTACAAAACATAATTGCGAATATCAAATTGTTAACACTATTTTACTCTTTCATCCTAAATCCATTGAAACTAGGAACATTTTGCCACCCTTCTAAAAATTTCAAATATCCACTTACCCTTTTCTCCAACAAAAGGAAGTGACCACGTGAAAACATCCATAAAATTAGGTAACCAATACGGATGTGGTGAACAATTGAACTGACGAATATTCATAACATTGTTCTCGTATTTCAAAATAGCAGCTGAAAACAAGAAAAAGAATAACTTGTAGTAACTCGTATATTTATAATTTGGCAGCATAAAATATAAATTGTCCGTGAAATGCCATCTGATGTAAGAGTATTTGAACACTTTGTTTACATCTGACGCAGTTACAATGCAGTGTGTGACTGAAATAGAATTAAGTCACTGAATGCAAAAATCGCGTTAGCAGGAATACACTTTAAATATTTCAACTATATTTTCACATGACTATAGCAGGAAAAGGATGAATAGTAATCACAAGAATACCATCATTAGAAACAATTGTTGAAGCGCATTGTACATTAAATGTATATATTCATGTTAAAACTTGCCTTTATTATTGTACACATCCAAATAATTTGGTGCTGAGAATAAGGTAATTAACACGGGAAATCCTGTTGTCTGACTTTTTCGATACATGCGGTAACTGTAAAAGAATCAGTTGCAATGAATCAGAGGCAACTAGAAAACAGAGCTCATCTGTCGTGCACATTTTGACAGAATACAATTAAGCAATGCTGTATTTGCTCTATTAGAAGGACATGTGATAATAGAGCACATATTGTAAACAATTTTTGCATAAATTGAACATTTTCCATCCAGATCCTGTGGTACGCGATAATCAAATACAAAAACAGGAAAGGTTTTAGCATCGTAGCATCAAAACATCACATGGGATTTGACAAACTATTTTCGGGTATTTCCCCGCTTACTAACGTGTTGTATACATTTGAGAATGAACTATTTTGATGAAGTGAGTTTCTCAATGCCTTATTTCTATCTGATAGGAATTTCAACACTGAACTATTAAAAAAAAATCAAAAATAAAATTATTTAATTTTCGCGACAGGCGTCTTCACCCATTACGCAAGATCTTGCATTTAACATCACCCATTTCATCAGGATACAAAATTTTCAAGTGCCACAAATCAAGACGGCATTGCCTGGGTTCAGTAGGGCCTTGAGAGGCACTCATTTTCCAAAATTGATAAAATTATCATACCGTAGCTTACGGGGATAACGGTGAATATTGAAGGGCATCAAAGTAAACCATATGGGCATCATGATGTTCAAGCCCTGGGTCAGTAAAGTGTTTTAAAACTGCCCTAATTGCCGATACTAAGAAAGTTTATTGAACTCCGCTATTGGCAAGACAGTAAAGAGTTAAATATCTGTTGAAGCACATTCCTGTTTTTGTATGCTGCCCTCAACGGTATCCTTGGAAGTAGTCTATGTAAACATGTAGCTATGAATATCAAACATTAAATTGCAGTTTTTTTTCATATCAGAGGAACATACAGGCACCTGTTAAGTCTCACTTTCATCATAAAGATCTGCAAATGAGAGTCTGGCTTATTACCAAATCAATAAAAGACATTTATGCAGACGTTTATTGTCTGGCATTACAATCCCCAACAAAACATCAAGATGTACAAATCCCAATGCATTAAGATAATATACTATAACATTAACCCCAGAAAGGATTCCCGGCAGACACATGAAAGCTTTACATAAACATTTCATGAGACTATTTACCCTGCATCTTGCGCTTCATGTGCTCGTATTATTGAAAGAAGATTGTTCTGTTGCAAAAATTCACAGCATGCCGGATAACTGCAATTAAAACAGATACAGTATTAAGACTGAATTGAGGACGGTGAATTTCTTTATACCTTCAATTTTAGTATTTTTTAATATCACTGAGATACAGACAATGAGTGGAACATCCATTTTCTCATTCACCTTGGTGTTACTATAGTTAAAGTGTTTGATATCTTGAAAATCAGGAACTAAAAAGGCTAATAACCAAACAGTATTCACTTTATTTCTCAAAACAGTCCTATTTTAATAATCCAGCAAACAAATGCTATGCTTACGTGGCAAATAACATTGTATTTGGTCTTAGTAGTAAATGGGCATATGTAAATTAAGGTGTAATATTTTGGTAATTCAATACAAACAAATGCCATTTTTGGTTTGTATGTGCTTCTACTGCAGATGCGATTCTAACAGCAAATTTTTAATTCAAGTTTTCCAAGAAATTGAAATTTGGAGTTTTTCCAGGATAATTTTGTCCAGATTAAATTTTATGAGTTCCAGTTCCATTACGTATTGCACATACGATCAGTAGCACACAGTAGCAGAAACGTGAAAACACACAAGTTCAGAACAGGTCTATTTGTATGCCCATTTTTTAAACACTAAAATTTTTTGACTGGCGAAAATGCTATTAAAAGCATTATTAAAAGACAGGTATTTGACACACTGCCATCCACTGCACTGTGTGCTGTCAATAACATATGGAGTCAAATGTATGTGGCAGTCTACAAGTTAAAACATTATCGTCCTTTGCACAGAAAGCTGTCAATAACATATGAAGTAAAATTTGTGCAGACGACATGTCAACCCAATAAGACTACAAAATGATGTCATGAAAAATGATTATTTGCTCAAACCAATAACTATTGAAACTGATTTGCACATTCCATTGTAATTATTCAAAACTATACAATTTGAGATTTGGTTCTGCCATTTTAATATCTAAATCTTGTTGTATGACTACATGTACCGTTACCACTTCATGGAGCATACGATATAATATAAAAATAGCAATGCTTCAAGGGATTGGATTTTTTGCTTCAACTCTACAATAGAGCTAGGACATGAATGGGCAATAAGATCCTATTAAAGCAACTGGACTTGCTTTTAGCGTTGACCTACATAACCCATGGTATTTGTAACAGTGGAAACAGAGAAAAGAATGAAATACTATTTGTGGCGCAGATCTCTACACATCCATTTGTGACCAAGTACTATCAAAGCTTTCTTGAGTTGAAAGAATAAATAAGCCCAAACAAATTAAGATAGACAAGTAAAATATATTTACCTATAAAAGTAGGAACACCCTCTAACACTGTTATGACTGAAATGTTCAGTATTCTTTTCATTGCCAAAATCCTCTAATGGATCAGACCATAATAAATCACACATTGGACCAAAAGCTGGCGGTTCCTTGAATCTATCCAACTGTAAGTAAAACAAAATGTGTATTTGTGAGTCACTGCTTCAATCTACAAAGCAGGAGAGGAAGATAAACCCAATACAGGCTGGACTGGAGCAGCAAGCTAGGAAATTAGCTACTTTTTGTCAACTTTAAAGTTTATTTGACAGGTGTCCTTATTTGGACGTTTATAAAAATAAATTATGACAATGACATTTTGCATTTGTTTTGACAGTATGAATCATTATGCAAATTGCACATGTTCCAAGCTTTCAGTTACTATAGATGGTTTCATTTTAAAAAACAAGCCTTAGGATTACCCCAATTTCAGGCTTGACTAAATATTTAGGCTGGTCTAAATAAGCCGTACCGGGGAAGTTTTCATCCCAAGTTAGCCTGGCCGGCACTATTAATTGTCATGTTCTAGTGTCAGGTCGCATCACTGTCTCCTAGTTTCACTCGGCAGTTCAAAGCAAACCAAATCCTACATCAAATTGATTAGATTGTTTGTGGCCACTCTCCTCTCGCCATCTACGACTCAAATTAGATATGAGAACTCTTGGACAATTTAGGACACCATTACGATAACGAAAATTACACTTTCGTCAAGATTTGCTAAGTAAATACTGAAAAGCAGAGCATTCAGAATGGCCATGTTGGACACTTCGTACACAACAAATCTGCATTTCAAAAATAATGGAGTTTTCAATGAAAGTGAACCAAATTTTAATCCACAGAAAAAATCTGGGCAGGCTTTATTCAAATATTTAGTGTAGCTCTACAGTTCTTTTAATCACATTTCCACCTCACTGACTCAAAAATTTAACATAATTATGTCTGAAGATAAAGCTCCTTATTTAATAATGACATCATTAATGAGCATAAATATTTGCTACAAATGTAATCAAGTAACTTGTCATAAATATTCAGTCATATATGTATATCAGTTGGTGTGCTCTGTACAGTGACCTCCTTTTATGTAAATTTACGCATAGATTATTGAATAAAGAATGCAGTATTTTTAAGATATGATCATATCAAATATGTTTTGCACATAATGATACTAGGATATAACACCCAGTAAAATACGTTTCTAGTTTTTGGGTTAATGCTAACAGCAATAAGCTGAGTGTAATACGACAGAAGGCTCATTTCAATCAAAATTGAATCTACCACTTCTGCCATTGTAAAGAAAGAAATTATAAAAAAAAAAATAACTTAAAACATGTGTGAAACAGGAATGTTTAATATGCCATCATTTTGAACAACATTGATAAATGAATATTTTAACAAACTTCAAACTATGCTAAAACTTGCACTATAAGCATAACCCCACACCTATTCCTAAATTATCCCCAGGATTGAATAATCCAACAATACTGCACCCACGACTTGTATAATTCAAAATGCCGTTCCTATGGCAAGACTTGTACCATATTCTACAAGCCAAATTAACGTGATACCCCCACCCCCCATAGGAAAACTTGGCTTAAATTCAAAATGCAGTTTGAAATGCCCTTAACATGTGCCTCATGGCACCTGCAAATACAATAGCCAAAAATTGACACCTGTTGACAACATAGCAAGATTCGATGCATCATCACATGGAATCAAATCCCACCTTCAAGCAAAATATAAATAATCACGAATTCAATATTGAAAAACTAATCTAAAAATGCTTTTGTTTAAATCTGGTCTAAGAAACACTGATAAAACCCACTTTCAAAGGACACTGTAATAAATACATGTAATGAACACTGACAAAAGAAATGGTACAATCACTTTACTGTAATAAAATCTTTGTAACACAAAAGATGACATTAGCACTTCATATCATATGAGTAGAGTCGTGACATTTAAAATAAGCAAAACGGCAAGCATATCAGTCAGGTTTCATATTCCACGAAAAATTATTACAACAAAACCTCATCTTCAACTGATTTTAAAATTCAAAATGCCAAAATCAACTTTTCACAATAAAAGTTGTATATAATCTTTCATATTTTATCTGGAGGTAAAAAAAGTGACAAATGCATACAAGTGTACAAAATGTTGGCAGAATAATTATGGCGTTCACATGATTAAAGAGCTGGAGACAAATTGACACACTGGTGATGAGAAAAGAAAATGCAATTAGCATTAATTTATGCCACATTTGGGTAATGTGACCTTTCAGGAACTTGTCCAACCAGTATAGAATTTAAATATATCGTAGAAATCAATAATTACAGGCAGTTATCAGTGACAAACTGATCAGATTGCACTGAAGCAGAACGATATGGTAAATAGGATGACAGCACACAATCTGGGGATGACATTAAGAATCATATCGCATACATTATGGTGTATCTGAAATTCAATTCAAAATTGATTCTTATGAAGGCATGGAACATTGATTTTACAATTCTATAATGTTAAAAGAGGTTATATTACATTCAAAATGCATATTAAACTGAATTAGATTATTTGAACTGCAATTACATGATGCACTAAATATATTTTAAATAGTGACGAAGATAATATCGGGTTAATATATACTATCCTTACTATTTTTCACCAACCATGTACATATGTAGCAGTAACGATAAAAACTGAAAAGAGGAGTCTGGAAGAGACTAGAAAATCTGATCACCCATCACTTAAAGGCGAGCACAGGTCTGGCTTTTAACACTCCGTACATGAAATTTGAGAACTATGAATGAATTCTGTCGATAAAAACAACTTGTATGTGCTGCAAAATACCCTCAATATCGAGTAAACATAGTTGAACTCTGGTGACCTTGTCCTTTGTTATATAATATAATTCCCTTTATCATAGTTTGTTTCAATATAAATATGCATTGTCATAATTAATTTTGAATACAAACAAGTTTTGGGGTTGAAACAACAGTGGGGAATCAGTCTACCGAATGTCCTTAAAAGATGTAAATATCTTACAAAAACATTGGTGCCTTGTTTAATTATTTTAAGGGGCATAATTTCCAGCTTTATTCAAAGTAATTCAGATATTTTAGTATAAAAACAAATGTCTCATTGCAAAAATAAGTGCTGCATTTAGATGTGAATAGATTCATAAAACATGCAAGATAACAGAAAATTTTAGCTGGCTTTAGTCCAAGTATTTTGTACAGGTGTGTCAAAAATTAATGATTCACTGAGACAAATATGAACTGCCTCATTGTGTGACTACTGTATTATATGAAAAGTAAAAAAAAACACCCTTTATGAATAGCTATCATGTTGCAAGCTCTGCTTTGTATGCAAATCAACTTAAATAGTAAGTTGGTGTCCAGTGGAGGGAGAAGTCAACAGTACTGTTGCCTCCTGAGAATCTACATCTTCAAACACTGCAATCTTTGTTTTTGAAGTGCGTTTTTAAACTAGTATTATAAAAACTATCATTCTGTTCTAATAGCTGAAACGTATTCCTGTGAGTTTTCATTTGTCGAATGAACTGTTTGTCAAATACAGAATACATATAATTTAGAATAATTTTCTTTTTAAAATGTGGATGAAATGTTTTGCTTTTAATGTATTTTTTATGTATTGTTTTTGATTTGATAACTTTGAACTAAACAGATTTTCTATTAGCTTCAGATCTTGATCAAAGTTAGACACCCAGTTCATAGGAGTGCTTATATTGATTTTCTGACATCTTGTTTTCTGTAAAGATTTTATTGGTAGGTTTGCAAATGTGTATCAGACACGAGTTGGTTTTGAAACCCAGTATGGGATTCTGAGATGCATTACCAAGGATATTATTACAAGATAAATAATTTGCTTCATTGAACACATACAACAATGCATATTTCCACTGAGATCAGTTACCTTTGATGTGTATCACCAGTGATCAGTCAAGTAGAAACAGTCAAAATATTTTATCAGATTTTCTCAATTTTTGCATGATATTTTCATACAGGACATCTGTTGTTCAAACTCAGGGAAGACTTTATACTGATGAATAAGATGACCAAGTTTGATAAAGTTTGGAATAGAATTAGTAAAGTTATTATGCACACAATAACAATTATTAACGACGACGACGACAACAACAACGACAACAACAACGACAACAACAACAACAACAACAACAACAACAACAACAACAACGCCAGACAAAATTTTTCCCTTAATATACCTTTCCCTTCCATCTTTGATGGCACGGGCAAGGTAAAAACGGGCTGTGAAGTAGACGACAAACGTCCACTTTGCCTGGCGATACTTCGCTTCTAGAGGGCCAGTCAAACTACTTCATCAGTGAACACTGATAATTGAACCCATTCATATGCTAGTACGTCAATCCCATAGAAATGCTACTATGAAGACCTTGTTAACTGACAATTTAAAAGTTGAAACATGGCGAGGTGTTGTGCGTATGAATGCCATAACGATCCATGTTAAGTTTCTCAAAATCCCAAATGAAAAATCATGTTGTTGGTTGCGAGAAATCGACAGAAGAACTAACCTGAAAGTGAAGACAAGTACGGCGTTCTAGAAAATTGACCATTTTCAGATAAAAAATTAATGAAAAAAATTTGTGCTAAAGTAAAGCAGTTCACAGTATTAGGATACAAAAACTGTACGAACTACCCGCTGATTCCCTGCTTTAACTTTGTGTAAAATTAAAATGGCATTTTCATAAATAATTGCCAATATCAGTTATTGCTTTGGATAAGGCAAGAATGCTGAATAAATTGGCATCAACAAATTGGTCAGGATTGTACAAATGAGCTTGAATTCAAGTAGTTTGGATACCAATTTTGTAAATTGCCTGCAAATACTTCAAATGAGATGAAAATCTATTTATACATTATTAATTTCCATAATGCATACCTACAAACAATAGCCGACTTAGCACTCAGGATACTCAGCTCCCATCCAAAAATATCATAAATTTCCATTCATTACATTTCTTTGGCATTGTTTTATGAGTGGATTTTACACTTTCAAACATAAATGTTCACAAAAAACAAAACACATTTTATTATAATTTTGCATACCATCAGAATTTACAATGTAAAAATTATTAGGACCGAGGGGAAAATAGTGTTGATCCTTATGTTCATTGTTTTGATATTTTGCAAAACGACCTTTGACCTGATTTTACTAACCAAGCAACCTGAAACTGCGTCATACTGACAATTCTTGCATATTGGCAATGGCATTTTTAAATTACAATACAGAAGTGAATTATCAATGTTTGAGTATGATCTGTTGATATTTGGCAAAAAAAAAAAAATTACATTTTTGAAAGGTCAACATAGTGTGGAAAAGTATTTAACACCTTTCATGGTCATTGCCTGAGCATGGTTCACCTGTTCATACACAATTCATGGTAGTCAATTTCCATAATAGCCACTATAATTTGATTATTCAAATAGAACAATGTACAATGACCAGCTCAGATGACTAGACAGTCAAATTGGGACATTTTGTAACATATTTTGCACAAACACAATGATTTTTGAATATTCCTAGTTCATCCATGTAAGTGATATGTGCTGATATACGATGGTAGCTCTTAGCTCTCATTTTTGTCATCTGTGAATGACATTTGCAATCAAAAGTTTTCATGTTGGTTTGTAAACAAATGATATCACATTATTATGTTTCTTGAGCATGCACAAAAGCTATGACGCGTTGTTTATTGCTATTAAATACACATACATTGGAAACTGTCTCAGTAGATCACGAACTTGTGCTTGTTGGCAAAAATGTAAACACAATATCTCGAATTCAGTAAGTATTTTACCCTTCCCCAATGTCTTACCTTTTTGATGTCATCCAATGTATGAATTTCCGGTGACAAACCACCATGTACACAAAGAAACTGTTGATTCATAAGAGCTGCTAATGGCAAACAGTCGAATGCTTCCATACAACTATCGTAAACTCTTTCGGTATACTTGATTTTACCTACAAATGTAAAGAAATTTAATTTTTAAGGCTTGAATTTCAATTTTTTTTACGTCACCAAGGCAATCACCTCAGTTAAATTACAAGTCCTGGTGAAACTAGTAATGAAGAAGAATATGGAATGATTAAAAGAGGCCTCATCATAACTGCAGTGTGGAACGTTTCACTGAATGAGAATATCTGAGTCGTTGTCTATTTTTTAAGTTCATGCAAGGAATATTTGTTTTTACAATTTTGTCAGGAATTGTAATTTTCAACAACAAAAATATAATCAAAAATATCTTTTAATATATATTCGTGTGCCTTTCTTACACTGGTCAATAGTTATTTTATACCCATCAATTTATCAAGTTTTAATGTACATTAAAACAAATTAAACTGCTTTTTGATTGGTGACTGGTGCTGGGTAGCACAATCTCTGTGTAGCTTTGCAACAACTCAAACGTTGGTTGGCCACTCAGATGAATGGAAACCAAAACAAGTCCATCGTTTTGGATTATATGTCTGATAAGAACCGATAAAAGACAGGAGATTGACAGATACATATTTATACAGATATAAGACAGGTACTTCCCAAAAGAGCATGGAGCAATTTGCTCTATATTCCAATCTTATGTATAAGTATTCAGATGATGTTTGAATATACAATACTGCACTAAGATCAGTAACACAAAAACCATAGACCAAAGCCCTTTGATTGACATGTTATTGATGTCATGGCTGTCAACGAGATAAGCCTCTGACTATTACAAGTAAAAGCATCCAATATAGGTGACTCGTGGGAGCCAAGTTTTATAGGGTATGGCTTACATTTTGCAAATTCAACACCTTGCAAGTGTATTTGATCACACATTAAAGTTTACTCTTGTATCTGAAGAGATTACATTTTCAGAAATCAATAACCGTCAACTCGAGTGGCGATGCTGGCGAGGCACAAAAAATATAGCTCCACAAACATGACAGGGCAGTGCTCTCCCACAGAGCTTATGGAAATAGGGTTTTCAAGTGTTTGCTAACAATCTATATTGTTAAAAACTACAATAAGGGGGGATTTGTAAGAGCTCAGACATCCCCCCCTAAAGACTTGATAACAATAAGGCTATATGTATAATGAAATAAAGACTGACGCAATAAAGGTACTGCAATGATAGGTACTTACATTCTTGTTTAAAGGTGAAGTATTCTGTAAGATGTCGACATTCGTGATTACCTCTTAGCATAAAGAATGTGCTAGGATAAAGAATTTTCAAAGCCCATAAATAGAGAACACACTGCAAAAAGAAGAGATGTGATTTAGTAACATAAATTGTACTCGTAATTTTCCACGAGTCAAGTTAGTGGACACTTTGGGAGTCTGAGTAAATTTAATGCAGAGCTGTAGTAACATGCACAATTTTTCCTCACAGTGAATGCTTTCTAGTCATCCAAACTGACAAATGACTAAAAAAAGTTGTATCAACTTTTATTTGGGGAGAAAATGACAACATTTGCTTTTGTTGACACCAGATGCAGAAATAACAGCATGCAATGAAACACATTGCATGTAGAGCCAAAGTTCATTAGTACTAAATTTATTGTTAAGGCCAGACTCTCGAAAAATAACTTTACTAACTCAACGAATTGTCTGCTTGTCAAATTACCAAAAATATGTTGAAGGGTAGGGGTGACTGGGTTTGGGTAGAGGTTTAATATCATGCTAAAATCTGTTGATTATGCCGATGTGGTTGAGGAAATACAAAATAACTGACAAACTAATTCTGTCACTGTAACACAGCTTGTTATAACATGCCTTACACAGTTCTTAATAGGAACTAACTCCTTTTTTTATACGAAAAAAAAATTAGTGCTTACATTATACAAACAAATTTTCAAAAATATTAAAATTACCAACTCTTCTCTGTAAGCCATCCAGTGAATAATACAAACTAGAATAACTGCTGCCAATAAAAGCTATGATTAAATAAATCGATAAATTTTTTTTTTTTCTAAATATACTGGCACTATCATGTGACCTACATTTCATCTGTTCTACCTGTAATCCACTCAATGCAAAATAAGGAATGGGTTATAATTCCTGAGCGGCTTGAAGGTTAAAGGTTACAACAGACAAAATTTCCAATAGTACAGACATTAAAGAAAGTAGAAAACCATGAATAACACAAAAAGCCCTAAGACAGGCAACTGAACTAAAATATTTTATATATATTTCACTTTAATACAGGAATCTTTAAAAATCAAAAATCTATACATGTCTATTCGTGTTCAAGGTGGGAACTAAATTTGACTAAAACGGATTAAGAAAAATACAGAAATGTTAAATGGAAATGTGTTAAAAGACTGAAAAGAAAATTTGTGATGATAATTTTAGTACTATTAAAATATTATATGCATTCCTGATATTTTTCAGTAATAGAAATATATAGATAGAACAATCACCAGGAATAATATAGAGAATAAGGCATTGTTAATGATAAGATCCCGGCCAGTTTTTAGTGACTGTCAACATTGGTGCAGAGTAATTATTTACATTAGTGACAGACATGATACAAAAGGGGAGCAAGTTTATTTGTGCAATTAAAACATTTTTTAAATTGTAAGAAAGTAGAATGATTTTTTTCCATAATAAAGTTGTTACAAAAACAGCAATTTATTCTATCCAGTTTCCAAGCACCAGGTGAGCCGGCCATTAAAAATAAGACTGCACAATTAAATTCTACAATGCTATAACTTGGGTACTCATTATTTATAACCTACTGCACATGGTTTATTCGTACAAGCACATTGAAAATGCTTCAGGGTTGAGATGTCTTTCTCGTGGGAAATTTCTTTCCCATATGCAGCAAAGCCAAACTTAATCATTTCAAAATTATATTACATTGATTTATCATTAAGCAAATAGTTGACAAATAATCAGAAAAAAATTGATTTTTTTTTTATTTTTAAGGTAGATGAAGCTGACCAATTAAGAGTATTTTTACTCTCAATTTGCAAGCAATATTTTCCCAATTGCTAAACACAGACATTCATGACCTAAATAAACATGCAATCTTTTTAGTTTCTTAGCTGCAATGAAAGATTATCATCTTTTATGTACTTTTTCTTTTATGTGAATATCGTAAATATAAATCCAACAGTTCAAAAATCATAATTTCAGTAACGTGAGCACTGTAAAAAAACTGCAATAAAATTAACGGCATAAAGATTTATTGATTTCATGAGAGTATATGTAAATGAGTATTTTTTGGTTGACTAGTCTGCTGTAAAAAGTCATCTCCAGTTTTCACACCAGAGAAAATATAAATCTTCAACACTTGAAGAGAATTATCATTAATTTAAGGAATTACGTCGCATATTGAGTGAATCGCAAGTCATGATGCTAATTTACTAATCAGGGTTTAAGGCAGTAATAAAGGGATAGCATCAGTTCAAAGTTTGTCAGTTTCAACATAAAATCATGACATCAATGGTGATTATTTGTCCATTGATTGCAGAATAAATGTGGCGGTGATTGAGCAACACACCAAAACGGCTAATCACGCGAGGCAATTGAACAATTACCTTTTGCAGCATTTAACCACAGTGAATAAGTTATCAATGTGATCGATCTAGAATTCTTCTGTGCAGAATACAAAATAGCGCAAGCATTGAAGAGGAAAGCAAAACAAATTGTTTGAATTTATGCGAATGACTGATTTATATACATTTTCTTCTTGGGACGTACGATTTAGAACATTGCATCACTGTTCACTTTCGAGAAAAACAGATGCAAGACAAAAAATAATTGTGCCAATACACACAAGCCACTGGCAGTATCAACATACAGGCATAGAGTAATAACCGTGCACATAGAGGAATTGATAATCTTCAAAAAAATTACTGTATTTGCTTTATCAATATTGCATACACTTCGGTAAATTGACAGGGATACCATTTATGATACAGCATGAAATAAATGAATTTAATAAAATATAATGGCCGATTTTTTTTTCTTCAGTGTTCTCTCATTGACAGATCTTTTTTATGTATATTTAGTTAAGATACCCTTATTGATGCAATTCTATCTATTATTGAATGGTTTTTAACACCTATTCTCACAACTCTTGCATATTGAAGGCAGTCCCCTCACATAAACCCCCAGCAACCAAATTAAGTTTTTTGTACATGCTAAAAAACACTTACCTCTATACTGAAATAACCCCTGTCAACATAATCACCCAAGAAAAGGTACCGAGTAGTAGCAGGATTGCCTCCAACTTCAAATAATTTCATTAAATCGTAAAATTGGCCGTGAATATCACCACACACTGAAATATAAAAATCACTATCAATAAGCTGAGATTAACCACAAATGCAGTATGCTATTTTTAAAAGAGTTAATTTCAAATTACTTCAACCAGACATTGTAGTGACAAAAGGTCAGAACAACCTGCAATATAATCAAACTGTGACCAAATACAGGCATCACCATTCAGGCCAAATAAAAAGAAAAATGTGGTTAATTTTCAAAAATAAAGAAGGTAGGCAAGGTATACATTTTTTCTTGCTTATAATATTTTTTTTTTTACTTGCATACAGAAACTTTTTTTGCAGATGAGTTCATATATCATGCTTATGCTCATGTTTAAAGTTAACTTTGTCTAGTTTTGCACATTTTCAAAGGTTCCAGGGTTTGACAGTAAAAAAAAGAAAGAAAAAGTCAGGTAGGTTGGGTTATATAGGAACACCATTTTCTCTCCCTTGGCCTTACTATATAACCAATGGAGGAATGTAGGAAACTATTTTTCTCTTGAAATTTATTTGTATAGTCTTCAGTGAAAATAAATTCCAGCAAATATAACATAATCTAAAGTATTGCTTTAAGATTAATTATTCATCAAAATATATCCACAACATCTATATGTGCATTTCAATGTTGTATATTGGTTTTCATAATGAAGACAAATTGAATGGGTTTGAAGGTTCTGTAAACAATGATAAAATATTCTGAAAAACCATATGCTTTCATGAAATTTGAAAGCTTGTGTGTATTACTACAGTGAATTATATGAATAAGAAACAACTACAGTTGAAAAGCCAAGGTTTTCAAAGCTGTCAGGTATAGGGATTCCCAATATGACAACATAGCAATTTTAAACAAGTCATGGCATGACACAGTCCCCGTCATTTTATTTGAAAGACTATATTTGAGTGTATATGTACATAGATGTATCTGTATATTGTATGTATCTGTACACATGCATGCAATCTCTTGAAGTGTATTGCATTTTAACAACTCAGGCCTATTTTTTTGTAACAGATTTAAACCAAATCCATCAATGAATACCTGAACTATGGTATCATACGATAATACAGACGAGGAAAAATTCATTAGACAAATGCACCTGATGTTTGTCAGAAATATGGATCCAAAACTACATTTCTTTAATACAAAATGCATTTTGAATCTAATTCGAAAAATACAAGCATCAAGGTCCCATTGTGCTCAATGTATGAACTATGGTTAAGCTGAATTTGTTCATACACTAGATCCAGATCCAGATATAAAGGTGTAGGTATGTGCAAGATACAGGTGGATACAGAGATACAGATGGGGGGTGTCAATTCACAAGTCCTTGTTTTCAAACTAGATGGAATTCTAGTTTGGAAGACAAATATAGAACTAGGGTGACAATGATGTGAAACCATGGATCAAAATTAATACCTATGGCATGGTTTTCACCTAGAACAAATACTTGTATAAAAGTTTCTTTTCAATTAAACTTGTTAATTAGATCAGGAACTTTTATTCTCAAGGCTGGCTGACGACCTGACTTTCAATTCCTACATCCCAGAGCAACCATGCATAGACAATATAAAAAAAAACACCCATCCACACATGGAGAGTTGTTCTTTAACAGTCTGGGTAACAGATGACAGTGAATCAATAAACAGCTGTTTCAACAAAACTGAGGACAACCGAACAAATGCAACAACAGTTATATGAGCAAGGCATAAAAGCTGAGCAGTAGATGATGTAGGTTTATAAAAGTAGGGCACACTAGATAAGCTCAGCAGGTGCATGTAATATAGGTTTATATATGGCATGATCATGATACATACAAGTTTTACAGGAACTGAAATGCATCATCAAGATGTGTGGTATTTTTATTACATATTCTTTTCACAATTAAAGTTTGTTTAATAATGTTCAAATTTGTCTTTTTCACACATGTGCTTATGTTTGGGCTTTTGATCTTTTATTAGAGGAAAGGTGTTTCATTCCAAAAAAATCCTTTGTGTTTGCAGAGGGATTACAGCAGTTACGTTCACGTTAGTCGGGACCTACTTGGGACCCACTCGACCCATGCCGAAATCACGCCCTCATGCTTTGATCTATTATTTGACCTAAACATGGAAAACTATGCGCATATGAAAATAATTGCTATATTGAAATTATATCAAATTGCGGTTATGGTATTTATTACAAGTCATCGTGCACATCAGCGGCAAAAAAGATTTGAAAAACAATTATTTTTTCATGTCGATGTAGCATTGCAAAAAAAAAATTTTGCAGCAGCACATAAATATGTGTCGCCAACAATGTTCTGCACTCATTTTATTCATTACTATGGCATTCGACCATGTATAGCCACACTTTCCTCCATCGTATTGTCACACCAGTATGAATCTGTGTATGTTCTCTTAAATTCACCACCGAGAGCATGATTTCGGCTTGTGCCGAGCGTTCAAATTTCCGCATTTTTTTTTATTCGACATGTGCCGAATCTGTCCCGACCGCTCACATACACATTTCGGCACGTGCTGACTTGGTCCCGAATCTCAGCCAAGATCTCTAAAATGAACACCGCTATTATCCAGTCCCTCATAAAAAAAACAGCTCCGTTGTTAGGAATGCACATTTCAATTAACATGTAGAGAATTTAAGATATCATCACAAAATGAACAAATCTGAGAGGTCCCCCTGTAGTACCAATATAAATAATATCAAAGAAATCAGACTTGCAGTTTTCAACAAGTCGAACATATCACTTTTTACTCAAAATTACAAAACTCATCAAAATTAGAAAATTAAAGATATCATGAAATGAATAAATCTAAGAGAGGAACATATACACTAAAGAACATATACACTAAGTATCAAAGCAATCAGACTTTCTTGAAAAAAGTCAAATCAAAGAAAGCATAGAACTGCGCTGAGAATATTGGAGACATGGAAAAAGCCAAAAATTATGGATAAAAATCACTTGTATCTGCTGACAACAACCTAATAGAAAATATCGTGTGATTATATACATCATCTATAGGGAACAAGGGAACATGGACGCAATGCCCTCATGCCATCCATGGGCATGCATCCCCTTACCCTGGGGAGCAGATCCTCTGGCAACCATAAAATTCTGATTGACCAGGGATCACATGTGGCCACAGTCTTCAACTGTGACCTGTCTGGTAGTAATTTTGGTCCCAAGGAAGCCATAGAATGCTCCATTTTAAGTTAGAATCATCCAAAACTCCACACCCTGGTAGAGAGAACCCCATCTCCAGTGCTCCCTCTTGCAGTTTTTTTCTAGAAAAACCCCTGATCTATGTAACAAATTGTTTGAAAGATTAATGAAGTCAAATGTTCACAAAAATTAGGTCAACCTTTATGAAATGCAGCAGTTATCAACTAAAACCAGAAGATACAATGCAAATAAGGAAGGAGGGGTTGAAATAGGTGATTTTTCGTACAATTGCGAGATCTCGCGAGATGCATGAAAGACGCGCATCGAACTTCTGCCACAAAAAATCGAACGATTTGATTTTGAACTAGAATTTCTTTATTTCGTAGCTTACATTGACCGGCCAATCTTCGACAGAGGAATATTGCTTCCGAATACCCTTACTTAATCGAAATTGCCCATCATCAAATGTGGACAGCACATTATTAAGCATGGAAATGTCCCCGAAATACATTCGCGTTTGTCGAATCCCACGCGATGTTTGACGCCACTACGACGCTATGACCTTTGTTTGTCCTGTTTTTACGTTCGATTTCACGCATAACGCGTGATTCTCGCAGTGAACGGAAAATGGTCTATTAAATGTCCAAAACAATTTTTTCACTTACTCAAAATTGCTGTTTGGGTTTTTAGAACCTCTACATTTCTAACGAGATCAGATTTTGTTAGCAAAAGGGACATAAGAAAATGTTGATACTTGTGGTACTGAATGCATGTAGTATTGAAATAGAAAACATTCTTAGCATCCATGCAGTTATAATTAAATATTACACACAATCAGCATACCTGTAACTGGTGCTTCAATATCTATCATAGTTTTTTCTTGTCGTAATAAAGCTGCTCCTTCATTGATGAGTCTAAGTGCTACTGCTTCCTCTACCCTTCCTTCCACAAGGAAGTGTTGTTTTAAAATGTCAGGTTTAGGTTTCCCATGGCTGTCAAATACTTCTTTCATAGTCAAACGACTTGAAGGTGGAAACGGGACACCTAGAACAAAGTGACAAACTAATTTAATATTTAGTTTTCAAAAACACAGTTGGCTCAAATTAAAATGATACATATTCCATAAAAAAATTACACAAACTCATATATACAGTATATATATACAGTGGCCCCTCGCCAAGTAACCGTGTCTGGATCGAAGCAAAAACCGTGACTTCCCAAGGAGTCTCGTGAAAGAGGGGTTTATGCATTGAAAATTGATAACAATCACACATGGTTTTATTTATAGCAAGTTTTCTTAATTTGACAACATTACAGCATCCATTTCTGCATGGATTCATGCAACTCATTGCAGCAAGTTTTGTAGATCTTTATCAAAGGGGAACAACCAAGAACTACATAAAGTCAGGACCTTCATACCTTGTCAACGACAACCAGTAAGTGTTAACAGCCAATTAAATGCCCGCGACTTAGCTGAAACCGCGACTTATTGAAGCACGAGGGGTCACAGTATATTCAACTGTCTGAAAGCCTCAAATACTTAATCATATTTTTTGGTGCCCCTTCCCATCGAATCTATGGCACACTCGCCCCGGATTTTGACCCTTTTTAATGTTTTCAAAGCAAAGTAGTATTCGAACTGTCTACCGATTACGAGTATGATGCAAGAACCACTATGCTACTGAAGATCGGTACATACATGCAACTACTTTATTAATATAGGACCAAATGGACATAATTTACCATTGCTGTTAGTTATGATAACTATTAACAAAATATGCAAATATACATTTTTTGGTGAAACAAAAATTTGGCATTCAGAGGGTTATTTCAGTTTTTGAAACACCAGAATTTTTTGTATACTAAGGGTTCTATTGTCAAGGCCAAACTATATTAAAAAGCGTCTTATATAGGAAATTCAGGCATGCTTTCTACAACAATGGGCATTGTAGACTCCAGGAAGTAAATTACAAAATCTTATACTAGTACATTGTTTTGTGTACACACAAATACATGTTTATTCAAAAAGTACATAGTGGGATAGAAGACTTGCATACATTGTCTACTATATTAAAAATTTAAGTTACGTTCTAACCAGTAACTAAAATGAAATAAAAGAAAATGGGAATGTTTGCTCACTGGACAAGAAATTATATGCATAGCAAGATATCAGGTATTACGGTAACCCTTTTAGATAAATGTATAAAGTTACGCCATGGATACATGTACATGTAAAAGGTATAAAAGTACATTGAACACAATTATAAGTCTAGCCAGAAAATAGGCCACATGGAGATGATAATTGATGTTATCGATAACATTCAGGGCATCCTGCATATGATCAGAGGAAAAAAATAACCTGTATCACAGTATGGTAATTATGAAAGCAATCATCCAACATATACAGTCATGGTTTTGTAGTCAAAAGACAGGTTTAGGTTAGGTTATAACCAAGAAATTGTGTAAGCAACCAGTTGCTGACAGTCTTGGGTAACCTAATCTTTCCAATGCCAACTCAATGATACAGTTATCCCAGGACGTCACAAAAGTTTGAAATGAAAAAATGGGGGGGGGGGGTTAAGTGAAGTGCCTAAAGCTAACCATTCCAAAAAAGTATCTCATGTCGCCAGTTAGAAATTGTACTGATGGAGTTATTTTTTCACAATCATTCATTACTCCACATTTGTAGTGTTTTTTTTTGATTTCTGCAATTTTTTTTTATCTTACAACAAAAGTTTGCTTTGGTTCGCTTTGATACATGTATTCCCTAAATAATTTCTATAAAGCTAACAACCATTTTGTAAATTATGGCCTTGACAATGGGTGCCCTCCCAATTCCAAGCCCTGCATTTGGGCAGTCGTATATATTCTTTTAGATTTATAATACAATCTGAATATATTCAATGTGTTAAGCTGGTCCATGATAGTCCAAGAACTAACAATGCAGATAGAATGATCAAGAAAGCGTTTTTCCATTCGTAACTCACTGAATTACAGCAATATCTTACTTAAACCATATTCAAGTAGATGGATAATTGAATTGCAAGAAATGACCTGTTAAACAGTTGGAATAAATGGATCAAAAGTTACTGTCTAAAATTATTTTTACTCCTAATTTCAACATTCCTGCTGGAGTAAAATAATTTAAATCATTTTTAAAGAAGTTATGATCAAAGTTATGGTTAACAGAAAGTGTAGACAGCATAAAAGTTGGCAAAACGAGTAGTGCTAAAAGGGTTGAGAGGAGATGTGTAAACTGTGGGAGGACAAGTCTGAACTAAAATCATCAAGGATTCCAATGTTTACACAGCACTCTAAACAAAGCATTAAAAGGATTATTTGATCAGTATTGTCACTATTTAGCAGAGCTTATTTCTCAACAACTGTAATACAAGTGATGCTGATGGAACATGTTCTAACACTAGCATAACAAGATCAAGCCAAACATTAAGAACAAATATTTATTGTCTGCAATTCACTGGTGAAAGGATGACCCCACCTTTTCATTCTTACTCAAAACCCTTTCTCTGCTGGTAGGAAAAATAAAAATCATTGTTAGGCTCAGAGTTGAAGGAATAGATAAGTTGTGAATACTTTTAAGTTGCTGCAAAGCTGATTTTTCTCTTGAGAAAACCCAGTTGACATAGCATAAATTGTTTGTTCAGAACTGGATGCCTATCTCATCATAAACACTATTAAGTAGGTCATCTAGGGCAACTAGTATCTCAATATATCAGGTTGCAAACACCCACAGTTGTAATATTTCCCAACTTTCCCAGCTAAGGTACACATGCATGAGGGATTATATTTTGGACGAAATAGACAATTCCTTTAAACCTTTTATCTGCTCACTGAAATATTCCCCTATATGCAGGAATTTGCATGTAAAAACAGAACAAACAAAGGTCAAAGCATTGTAGTGGTGTCAAAACTTTGCAGGTGATTCAACAGAGAATAAAGTGATAAATACCACAACATTTGATGGTCAGTTTTGATGAACTAAGGGTATCTGAATGCCATATCAGAAAGATCAGCAGTTCAAGTCTGTGCTACAAAAAAAAAAAAAAAATCAAATCATTTGATTTTTTTCTTTACATCTAACACAAAATCTCGTAGTGAACGGGTAAATTAACTACGTCTTGATAAACAGTTTTGAAAAAAAGAAAAGTTGTATTGAAGTTCAAAACAAGCAGCCTGTCGGCTGAGATAGCTCTGCTGTCAGCAATGCACATCACAATTAAAGAACTGAAGATATTATTAGAAAATAAACAATATGTATATAAAGGGCAACTGGACAAATCTGAAAGAGGTCCACATGTAGTGGTAATCGAACATGCGGTTTTCAACAAGAAGTCGAAAATATCATTTTTCCCCCAAAAATGACAGAAATAATTATCAAGATTAGATAATTAAAGATATCATCACGAAATTAACATATCTAAAAGAGGTCCACATGGAGTACCTATATAGGTAATATCAAAACAATTGGACTTGCGGTTTTTAACAAGAAGTCGAAAATATCACTTTTTACCAAAAATGACAAAAATATTCACCAAAATTAGAAAATTTAAGGTATGATCAAGAAATGAGAGGTCTACCCAAGGTACATATACACCAAGTATCAAAGCATTCAAGCTTGTAGTTTTCAAGAAGTCGAAAAAGTAAAACATTGACACGAACGATGACGGACAATCATGATAAAGTCGATAGCGGAGCTAAAAAGTAAACAAGACATAATATTGGAATAATTGCTGATTACGAACGATACCCTCCGACACAAGCACAAACAAAACTTTGATTGATTTATTTCACCAGAAAATTTTAGAGGTCAAGCACAAGCCTATTCATCCACTTTGACTCGAAATGCATTAGTGTACTGAAATATTATAAAACAAGTCATTGAAAAGGTCACAGTCCCCGTTAAATTAAGTTCTCTTTGTGCTCGTCACATTAAAGCAAAGGGGTTGTCGCGAGCATGTCCTTGAAACTTGAGTTCCAAGTGACGTATACAACAGATTGTTTATTTACATCAAAACACGTGTTCCGTGTAGTAGTAATATGGCCAAAAATAAAAACAGCCGTTATTCGGCCAGCTTTGATCTGATTATGAAACACACTGATATGTATGATGTATTTGCCAAATTCGAATGAAAATGGTACATAAATTGTGGAAATATAGTAGTAAAGCCAAAAAGTCAGATGACTGTCATTCGGCCATCCTTGACCAGATTTTGAAACAAATTGTCATGGACATGCATCCTAACATGTATAAAGTACATGTATGTGCCAAATTTGAATGAAAACTGACGGGGCACGTCCAAGATATCGCATAAAAAAACAACAAGATGCCTGCCAGTCGACCATCTTTGATCCAAATGTGAAATAAATCGTCATGAACATGTATCCTAACATGTATAATCTATGTACCAAGTTTGAATGACAACTGACAAAGCATGTCCAAAATACAACATTTTCAAAAACAAGATGGCTGCATGTCGGTCATTTTGAATCGAATCGCTAAACCACTGCATGTGCATATGTCCCACATAAAGTACTAGGCACATGCAAAGAATGAACGGAATCGGTCCAAGGGATTCTGAGATACGACTCCGGACGGACGGACGGACACACGGACACCGAATTATAAGTCCCCGTTTTCGAACTTCGTCCGAACGGGGACTAATAAACAAATTACTAGTTTTGAGGTGCATGCTCCTGGTTTGCTCAATTAGTATTTCAAATTTAAGTTTGACTCTCAGATACAGTTCAGGGGTGAACCATTAGAAACTCAGGTGAGAGAAGAAGTCGAAAATGTAAAGCTCACGCCAACAGATGACAATCGGTAATATAAACCGCTCAGCTCTGTCAACTTTGAAAACTTTAGTGAAGGAAAACAAATATTACATTGTTTTTCTGCCCCCCCCCCCCGAGTTTCTAATAGTCCACCCCGTATCAGTGTTTTAGACAATTATCCAGCATATGGAATAGATAATTGGATATATGAATTGCAGAAAATATTGTCAAAGATTTTCAGCTTTTGCTTT